CAACCGGTATGTGCCCATTTCAACCTTGGGGAACTGCGATGGTAAGCGGGTTGCCGGTTTTCTCGTGACACGGTGTTGGGGACGGTGACTATCTCGCAACAGGCTGTAGCGGAGAAGATTGTTGCCAAGTTCGGTGTGACGACGGACAAAGAGACACCTATGGTCGTTGGGTTGAAGCTTGAGCAGTACGACGCCGACGAGCCCGATGTCGACGAGCCTTTCCGGTTGCTAGTGGGACACTTGATGTGGCTGGCGAATCAGACTCGCCCGGATATTCTCAACGCGGTACGTGCCGTTGCGAGGTATTCGCACGCGCCGAAGCGACTGCACTGGGAGGCGGCTTTGCATGTTTTGATGTTTGTTAGATTCACGAGCGGGTACGGGATTACTTTTCAGAGGGGTACGGTGGGAGGAGACCACATGGAACTTTTTGTCGATTCGGACTTCGCCAACAAGGCAACCGACCGGCGGTCTGTTTCTGGGGCACTAGTGATGTTCGCTGGTGCGTGTGTGATGTATCTGTGTAGGACGCAGAAGAGCGTCACCCTGTCTTCGACGGAAGCGGAGTACGTGGCGATGTCTGATGGGATGAAGGAGGCTATTTTTCTGCGGCATCTGTGGAAATTTGTCTTTCCGGGCCGTGATGTGGGGTGCACGCCGGTGTGGGAGGACAACGTAGGCGCTTTTCACTTGGCAAGTAAATCGGCTTCTACTCCCAACTCAAAGCACATCGACATCCGCCACCATTTCATCCGTGAGCGTGTAGCACGGGGGGAGTTCAAGGTAGTCCACGCACGGTCGGACCTGCAACGCGCGGATTTCTTGACCAAACCGCTCCCCAAGGAGACTTTTTGCGCGCATCGTGACTTCGTGATGAATATTCTTTGATTCTTTGTGTTGCACTATTTCAGCGATGGGGCCTTTCTTGCATCATGTGTTTTATTTGTGACCTGGTACTGGCCTTTGATCTGCTGCTCGATGTTGATTTCTGCTTTCGCGATGGATGGGATAGTTCTGCGTGAGAATCATGGGGGGGGAAGTATTGTTCCA